ATGGTCAAGGATTCACTGCCGACAACGAGATTATTAGAATGGAACGTTGTTTATAACATCGGACACGCATATAGATAAGTTACAAAAAATGCAAAATAGGGCTATGAGACACATTCTTAACGCCCGATACGATACCAGCATCTCGTCAATGCTGAATGAGTTAAACTGGCTAAATGTGAAACAATTAATTTTCTTCCACTCAATGAAATTTATTTATAATATTAAGAATGGAGCCCTTCCAAAATATTTGAGTGACAACTTTAGGTATAGTAGTGACACTCACACCTATAAAACAAGAGTTAGGGATAATTTTAAACTCCCATTCTGCCAAACGGAAAACCTAAAGCAAGATTTGTACTATAAAGGTTTAAAAAACATACAACGAACTGCCGGCAAATATAAGAAGCTGCAACAGCTTACAACAATTCAAAAGTCGATTATACCACCACTGCAAAATATATGTATAGAATGAAATGATAAAAAATTTTATTTTAAAGGATTGCTGCTTGATCCAGTAGAGAGGGTCGGTATGGAAACTAGTCCTTTCCATTCGCCCTACAGTACGGCTCAAGATCTAGATCCTTTCCAGTAGAGAGGGTCGGCATGGAAACTAGTCCTTTCCATTCGCCCTACAGTACGGCTCAAGATCTAGATCCTAAAGTCCACAGCAATGGTACAGGAAGTGCGGCTCTGGAACTCGTCCTTTCGGGCCGCCCACCTAAACAGTACCCAACATTCGGGCTGCTCGGGATCCCGTCCATTCCGACAGCCACGGTCACACTTATAATTTAATTTAATATAATTAATAAAATTACCTTGTTTAAATGTATATATATTTGTACAGGATAAATGTTAGGATAGTCCTCTCAAAAAAATGTGTAAGAACAAAATATGTAGTGAAATAAGAATATTGTTTTCATGTATGATTGTGATCCTGTGATGTAATGTATGCATATATCAATATAAAAACTAAAAACCCAAAATTGTACCAAACAAAATAGTAAGCAAATATTGTAAATTTTCAGACTTGTTATAGGCCTTTAAAGCTGTCAATAAATGAATAAATAAATAAATAAACGATGGAGAAGGTTCTGGGCATGTATTGGAACACTGCCAACGACGGGTTAGAATTTCATTTCAAATTTCACAAAATCGGCCGCG